GTGTGTGTGTGTGTATGTGTGTGTATGTGTATGTGTGTGTGTATGAGTGTCTTTGCATGGTTTGTGCGCGTAATTGTGTGTGTGCGCGTGCGCTTACGCGCTTGGGTAGTGCTCATCGCAAATATGCTTACCACGCGCGGGTATCTGAAGTTATTGCTGACGCGAGCTCTGGCCAGAGCCGTGTGCTAATGTGGGCCCAACTGGCAATTTGGCCCATACACTGGCTTTGAGAACCGGTTTCTCGGTACCACCTACCCACAACAAGTTAGGGTTTTGGGGAGTACTGCTGTGGATGGACACAATCCACTTCGCACCAGTTGGTAGGTGTTTTCCCACGGGTTTCATCCATTGCGAAGCTGCGAAGCGGGTTTGTGCGACTTGGCAGCCCAATGTGACTGGCGTTTGAATGAGGAAAAAATAAAAGTGATCATTTTGCACAGAGCCGGTCCAAGATTTTGACAAGTGGCGCGAAAGTATGAGAATTGCTCATGGTCCTTGCTTCTTCCTTTCAGAAGAGCAATAAAAGCGTCGGGTGATTCCTAGTTCTGTCAGCCATTGTGGTGTTTCTGAAAATAACGGAGGGCCCTTAAGGGATGGTGTTTAAGCCAGCAGGTTTGTTGCTCGACTTTTTTGAAGCCGTCACATGCACCGATGAGCAAGGTTTGCCGATCAGAGACCATCGCAGACGATGTGCAGTTGTTTTTGTTGGATGGCGAGCCACTTCCGCATGCGCCGAGGTGGCTTGCAGGCGTGAAAGAGTTGAAACAAGTTGTTTTCTTTCGTGCTTGTTTTGGCATGGGAGCTGAAGTGGAGGTAAAATGAGGCACACCTGCAGAGGGATCCTATCTAGGGGGTTCTTACGTCAAGGAATGGAATTATCACACCTTGTGTGGATCCTTGGGAAAGGGTTCCAAGCCATCACGACAAGGTTCCACGTAGCCGACTGCTCAAGTCACTCAGCTTGACAGCGGAAGGCGCAATGCTTCGAGCCTTTTTGCTGTGCGCTGTTGCCTTCGCGCAAGAGGCGCTCGAGTGTCCATGTATCACGCAGCTTGGAACAAATCCTCTCCGCTGACCGCCTCTCATTCTGCTCGACGGGATGGGGTTCATGGACCCCTGGAAGCGGCAGTGGGGGGGGCCTATCCCGGGATAAGCCCAAGACAAGGAGTAGCCCTTAAGGCCTTAAGGGCTCAATGGTCAGGGATAGCCCCCCCTTGGGAAGATCAAATCTAAGCCAACAGCGGTCCTAAAGCTTACTTTCTTGGATGTTCGATTGGCCAAGTTAGTGAAGTGCTCAGTCTGGGCTATAACCTGCCTAGTGAGTTGGGCCAGTAAGTAGGTTAAAACCAAGATTACTAGCCACTCAACTTGGCCGAGGACCCAAGCAGATTTTTTTGGGGCCAATCCAGGGAAGTGCGATTGAGATCAATGTCATGGGGCTTAATGGCGCATGCGGAATGCAGGCATGGAGCTGTCCGCCGATCCATGTTGGCACACACCCGTTTGACAACAGGGCCGGGCTGCAGTTGAGCGGTGGGCATTCGCGGTATTTAGTAAATTCACCAGGTGTTCCCTTAATATGTCATGATATGGTGAGGTAGGTTGGAAATTTATTGATCGCCCTTCAGGCATTTCTTCAAGCGTGGGAACAACATATTGGGTCAACAGGGGGGCTCAGCTGCGCTGCATATGAAGAATCTTGCTGACCTGGCGCTGCCAAGCCGTATCAAGCAATGATGCGCGCGGCGCCAGCTCACGTATATGTTGAGGAAACGCATGGCAAGATTGCCGCACAAATGCTGGTAAAACACATGTTTGCGCGCGTGAGCAACATGTCTTTTGCAGGTGCTGCAAACTTGCGCGACAGCAGTGTAAGGGCCGTGGTGTTGGTATTGACCGCTGTAGTGTGATGCCAGCCGATGTTGTGCGTGCGACCAGCCCGCAAACAGCCTCCCCCCCCTCCCCCGCCGGCGCAAGGGTGCAAGTCGACGAAGCGCTTCCACGAAGAACGCTGATCCATCTGAAGCATGCTGGTGGCCCATTGTGGTTTAATCATTGTTTTGCGATAGGGCCCACGTTGGCTTTCGAATGGAATATCGGACCGGTCAACCCTGCTGCTGACGACTCCTCAATTCCCAGTTGTTCAGTGACACCCTTCTTGCCTTTTTGTTTGGGTTCACTAAGATTGATGAACCCTGCAAGCAATTGCCCTTTTCGTCCTACTGTGGATGAACAAACTCCTGATCCAGTTTGTGGATGGTTTATCCCAATACAGACATGGTTCTGTTGGTTGCCGTGTAAGGAGCGCCTCGGCCCAGTACAGCACCGTGCAGAGCCAGCTGGTAATAGCTGGCTACCCCGCCTCCTATGGGCTCAATGGCTGTGGTGCCTATGATGACAACCTGACGGTTGCTCGGCAGACCGGAGTTTTTCAAAGCCTTTGGTAGGCCCCCAGAAAATGTCCCCTGCAAGACCAGCCGCCCTTAGGAGTATGTTACTACCAGGAGACCCAAAAACTCAAAACATGTGATACCTCAAAAGAAACACTTTTTTTGTTTTAAAGGAGGTTTTCAGATTGAGTGATTTACAGGAAGTACACAGGCTTTTAAAAGACAAGCCTGTGCAAAC